AAGAGTGAAAAGTATATTTTAACAAAACGCATTTGACTAACAGGTCGAACAACTGATGTTCTTAAACCCTGCTGACTGCCATTGACAATTGCCAAATAAATTGATCACCAGATGTAACATGTTCTTATATTTAATTTAATACCAAACAGAAAACAATAAACTTGCGGAGAAGATGGTATACCGCAAGCATGAGGTGCAAAAATTTGTATATATACATATGTCCAACAAGATAACAATGAATGCAAAACATAAAAGATAATAAAAAGAAATACAGAATACAATAGCATGTCATAGAAAGGGATCAACTAAGCCACCAGGAAAGATTCAATATGAAATCCCAAAATAAAAATCTTTATTACAAAACTATCGATCTGTAGATCAGCAAGAATGTGTAATAAGATACATAGTGTAGAAGCTGACCAATGGTCATCCAGCCTAAAGATCTTATTGCAGGGGTTCCACAAAGGGCTAGGAAAATACTCTAAATTAAGAAACAAATTAATGGTTTTCATCGTTTGCATAAAATTAGTTATTAAGATAACTTGCGTTAGATCAGTATTCTATAAACATGATAAAGACATCTATCTTACCTCCAATACAATTCAGGGATTATCATTGGTTAAAAGCGACCGATTCCATGTTTAGAGATTGTTTATATCATCTGTTTTGTCTTTAATGTAACTTAAGTTCTAAACAGAGTTTTATTTTCGATTCTAGCAGAACAATATAAAATGATGGAAACATCTACGATATCAATTTCAATCATACGGTATATGTGCCTTTAAAGCTATTATTTTTTTCTTGATACGTTTGAATATAAGGAGATATAGTAAAATTTCGATTAATTCAATTATCCACCAGAGATTAAAAACTATTGTTAACCTTGCGACCTTCATTAATGAGCGAAATCTAACACTTCTTGTGCAGTGTTATAGCTACTAAGAAGTGAAATTGATATGATTTAGTTCAGTTTCAATACATCTTACGTGGATGCATTTTGTGTATTTTAAGTAACCTTTTTTGTCAAAGTAAATTGATTGCATTTTTTCTTGTCCGAATATCCTTTCACCATTTGATTTAAAGCCCCATTAATAAATAAAGAAATAACTATTTATTTCATGTTCTATCAACCTCAGGCAAAGCTGACCTTAGATGAATTTTGTTCTTTCAATGAAAATTATAATTCTAATAAAAACGGGCTTCATCATGGTAAAAATTACTAAATACTCCAAAACGGTTGTGTCGCTCATCTGGATATATGTGCAGTTTCGACAATGGCCACTGTGCGTTGACTGCAATATTGTAGACTAGAATATTATTCATGAACAAAATATCGTTTTTATTGATCTTGTATTGGTGATAATTTTTGCTGTTTACAGTTTCTGTCTAAGTAACAAACAGTTTTTGTTTGTATATATATTATGTCCAAAACTAAACGTTTCTACCTTTCTATTATGGTTTTAATGTATCAGGCATTGAAAACATGTAGATAGCAAAAACAAAATCGTCATTCAAGGGCAATATAACTGCTTGAAGAAATCATCTTTTGAACATAAGATCATTACTGCATTTTACCCGTATGTTCTATTTTCCACCATGGCGGCCATGTTGGTTAACTGACCGAAGAAAAAAAAAAACCATCACAAACTTTAAAATAGATACCAGAATGATCATTTAACCAAACTTTGATTGAAATTTATTCAATAGTTTCAGAGAAGAGTCTTAGTAAAAGTATACGCAAAAAAGTATACGTTTTAATTTTTATCCATATATATAGTGTAGGATATATACCAATGCGGACATTTACCAACACGATTTAGTACTACTATTGAAAATCAATAACATGTTACTTGTGTTATATTTCATTTGAGAGGATATTTACAAACAATATTATATTATCAGATGTATTAGTTCAAGAAGTATGATTTTTTTTAAATATTAACATTACTGACAACTATAAACAATAGAGTACATTGATTTTGTTTGTTTTGTAGAAATTAATAGAAAATAATACAAGAAAAACAGCAAGTAAAATTATCTTTATAAAATCATTCAATGTGAGTGTTATTCAAATAAAATGTATATAAACTTCAAGGAAATCAAATTATGAGTTAACACTGCGATGACATTTAGCAGAATTTATCGGAATATTTCATCATATCAGAGGAACACCTCAACTGAATATCATAAAAGAGAGGCGAAAGATACCAGTGTTACATTCAAACCCATAAGTCGAAAATAAACTGACAACGTCATGTCTAAAAACAGAAAAGACAAACAGACAAACAATAATACAAAAACACATAGAAAACTAAAGACTGAGCAACACCAATCCCACCAAAAACTGAAGGTGATCTCAGGTGCTTTGGAAGGGTAAGCAGATCTTATAACGAATAGGAAATAGGTAATAGAAATTTTTGAAAAATATACACAAAAAGAAAACTATTCTTTGCTGTTGAGAAAATGATCAATTTCGGAAAAGGAACCTGATTTGTGACGGAACTAATGGAAATTGGACTTTCCTCCATATACAATGTAAGAAAAACGCATAGATTGCGGAACATAATTCAATATTATTTTTTGAAATCATCTTAGTTTTATGATATGGGATATCCATCCATGACACATAATCAGTCCATTCACAGCAATAAAAACAAAAAGCAAAGGAACAGCGCTTTTATTGCTTTTCTTTATTTCAAAGTCACAGTGAGGTCTTCAACACGGAGTAAAAATAATTCTCACTTCATTGCAAGTTTGAGACGGTACCTAGCACCGGTTTGAGCGGAATTATTTGCAAAAGGACGATCACGCCATACCTGTGTGTTAATTTTTCAAGTTTAATTTCAGAAAATTACACGAACAATCAGTGATACAAAAATGTTTATCTCAGAATAGCCAAAAAGAATATATTTTTTTTTACGAAAATGAATAATTTCTAGAGGAAACAGACATCAAAAATATTTCCCTGGGAAACTATAAATTTTCAACTGGTATTCATAGACAGTTTCCCAGTGAAAAAGAGAGTAAGCTGGTATCATTTTAAAGTTTTTCAGATATTTTGCACCAGATATCTCTAGTTTTCTTATATGGTTTTCCTATGAAATAAATTGGCGACAACTTTACTAGTTCAGCAGCCGTCGTGTTGGTCAAGCAAATAAAAATTTTGATAATACGTCGCAATCGGTAACGCCACAAATAAAGAATGAGATAGTAGAACATATTCGTGGTCATATGTGCCATAATCATCAACCAAATCATAAAGACTTTTGTAAAACATTCGACTAAATGACTTCAACTTAACCAATTTGAACTCACGCTCCTGTACACAATGTTGCTTTGGATAATACAAAAAGTGCTTAAACACAACAGCCAAAATTGTCTAAGGTCAATGTGCCAAATGGAGATGCAAGATTTGTTTAATAATAGATTTACAATTTCATAAGAACTAAGTTATCATAATATATAATCAATATTATTCAATATTGAACAACTTGCTACCGAAGAAGAGAAAACCGCCAGAACAAGAAGCGTTACACACCAAATAGTAACACAAACGAATGTTATAAAATACTCTTCCTTAACAGGTATTAATTGAAAAACCTTCATTGGTACGTTCAAGCATAGCCATGGGAAAGCCAATCATATAACATGTTTGAGGGAATTAAACCATAATAATCTAAACAGACCGAAAAAAATCCTTATTACAGCAGACACCTTTAGGGACAAATCACATGCATATAAACGAGCTGTAATAACTTGACTTAGATTAATTCGTGTCACGAAATACAGATAAAAATTTTACTCTAAAATATTAAAACAATCATGTCTTATCCTCCATCAAAGTATTTTACCGATGCTTAATGGCGTTTTTCTTAATCTTAATGGACTCATGCCATTTATATCTTTTGTCAATTATTTTCTTTAATAAATGAATATGCATATGGTATGTGGTAATTGCAGAATCAGATATTTTGTCTGAAAACTTTCTTGCGTGCAACAGTCTGAAACAGTACTACTCTAAATTAGGATTCGATCTTGACTGAGATAAGGACATATAACCCTTCTTGGACTTATCTCGTTGCCGCAGTAAAACCCTTAATACAGATTGCGTCCATTTGGCTGTGAGGGATGAATAAATACGCATCAACGTTCAATTTGTATGGGGACGTTACATTCGATTCCTCGTGTAGTAAGAGTGCCGCTAGAATAAACCTTTCAATAATTCTAGCTGATCAGTAATAAAAACGTAGTATGTTATTTTTGTATTCTTGTCTTTCATTTTTGCTAATGTGCTTTTTCTATATGCCTTTTTGTGTTTATTTCATACGTATGATGTGGCTTTGTAATTATATATTCCGTTATTGTGCTATTGTAAAAATTTGTATTCTTGTCTTTCATTTTTGCTTATGTGCTTTGACTATATGCCTTTTTGTGCTTCTTTGTTTGTTTTTATAGTGATTAAGATTATAACACAATGTTGACTGTTGCACCCCTATTTTTGACATTTTTACCTATTATGTCTGTTTGTTTTGTTCACACATCGTTATCAATATAATGGAATTAGATGCGAGAGGTTTAGCTAGCTATAAAACCAGGTTTAATCCACCATTTTCTACATAAGAAAATACCTGTACCAAGTCAGGATTATGACAGTTGTTATCCATTCGTTTGATGTGTTTGAGCTTTTGATTTTGCTATTTGAATAGGGATATCCCGTTTTGAATTTTCCTTGGAGTTCAGTAGTTTTGTGATTTTACTTTTTACATGGCAATATTTCTGTCCCTATTGAACTCATCCACATATTCAAGTGACAGTTCAAATTTCCTCGCCATTCATCTTGGTACACCTTCACACTACGTTCAACAAGAAAGCAAACAACAACCAAACTATGAATTGCAATCATGTGAATACACCTTATTCGAATATATCTTTTGTTGACATCACGTTGCTATTTTCTAGACCCAACCTTGTACAAGAATAATAATATCAACGAGAAATACCTCAAAAATCTTCCTCCAGTCCAATTGCTTCTTTAGATGTGCTTTTAATGCGCTGTTGATATTTTCCTTAAATGTAAAAAAAATATTGAGTGTATTATATTTTCATTAAGAAGTTTAGTTTACGACTGCTTAGTTTTGTTAGTAGAAATTTGAAGTTAAAGCATGGTAATCAATCGTCATCTTGTGTGCTCACATAACTTCATATGGAATACAATATATTTTGAATACTTTTGCAGATTCATGAATAGAAAAAATGATTAACACAATCAGTGAAAACATACTGAAGTAAACAAGCCTTCATGGACTTTCCGTTTTGAATTTTCTTCGGAGTTCGGTATTTTTATTATTTTACTTTTTATCATACTCTCACCTTTCGATAACAATAATAGAATCATTATTACTCCTGTTATGATACCAATAATCATCAGGACGTACTTGAAAAATCCTGTGAATATAAATAAAAAAACAGTCTTTAACATATTCCCCATTTCAATTCTCAATTTTATTTAAATTTCGAACATATTTTAGGAGTATACATTGAGACAATTACAATCAAAGGATGCAATGAACAGGCTTTTGTTAATGAATCAAAGAGAATGAAAATCACATTTATCATCTTATTTGATTATTCCTTATATATTTCTGCACTGGACATAAACAAATGCAATCTGCCGGATGCATGGAAAATAGACTTATACAAGAGGAACCATTAACATAAAAAGTGATGAGTGCCACATGTAAATGCACTTTATAAATGATACATGAACGATGAACGCACGTATAATGCAACATACACGATGAATGAAAAGCATATCAAAGGCAGAGCATGGAGAAAAAGTATACTACATGTAAACCATTGTTTTGATAAAAGAGAATTTCGTTATAGAATGTCAGAGTCATGTCAGTTTAAAAGGGTAGACCCGGAAAACAACAGGATTTCACCACGTTTGGTCATATTTTCACCAAGGCTTATATATGATATTTTAAAATTCCGTTGTATTTGATGATTAGGATATACTTAAAATTACACTTTTTGGGGTTCTACAAAATCAATTAAAATCGATTAAAATCGATTAGCCGAAGACACTAGGCCCTTTACTGTTTTCGATAGGAAAAGACATGACTGAAAAAATGCACAGTAGATACATTTTCAAATTAATCTGTAAGCCAGAGGTATGTTTTAATGATTTTAATTAACGAACATGTTGTAAATTTGGGCAATTTCATATGACACATCATATTTTTCAAAAACTGCCAGACAAACAAATTGATGTTTCATTCCGGTTATATAGTGCTGAAACAATTATATACATTAGAAATCACAGTTTGTTTTGCTTTAACAAATATGCGCGTTTGAAATCACAGTTTTATTTACAAAATTATAAATCAATTTCAAAATTGAAAAAGACAACTTTTAACATTTCAGGTACAAAATATTATACAGTCTCACTTTTCAATATAGTGTTTTTGAGTAAGTTAAAATGTTATCAGCCAAATAATATATGCACTCACGGTGGAAAAGAAATTCATATTCCTTAAGGGACGATCAAACTTTTGCAATTTTCTTTGATTCTGATGCATCACCCTTACAATAAAATGTTAACAATATATATGTTACATGAGTGCTTTATACTTTTTTAAAAATAAATTTCATATGGTAAAAACGCATTAATAGCTGTTATACATTTGTAAGAGTTAACTCGCATATCGCAGGTTTATCCTCTGGAAGAAGGATGCATTTTGAGAGTCACTGCTTGAAAAAGCATATATGATATTGAAATCATCTATCAGGTAGTGTAGAAAAGGATACACAGATACTTCAGAATATTGTGGAAACATACGCCTTATACATCTTTGCTGCTTTCAGAAGTTGTTTCAGTATGTATGCGTGTCAAAATTAGTTTCAATATCATTACTTCGTCTAAACATCAGTTTTCACTCATAAAAGTAAAGGTATTAAAAAATGACCAGAACAGCAGTTTACCTGTACAACGGCCTAGTTCATCTATAGTTCCGATGAAAAGAGGTACAATGATCAAAATAATACAGCAGAAAAACATCAGGATACATTTCAATACTGAAAACAAGAAAATATGATATGGGTGTTTTATATATTGCAACGATTCATTATTTTTTTTTACAGTATCAATGATATTTATTTTAGTTTGTGAATGCTGAAGAATAGTTAACTTTTTAATATACCTTTCAATAATACCAATTCATATAATAATGAAGTTTATTTTTGTCATCAAAATTTATGAAATTAATCTATAATTAATATAACTATATATATACAGTTACAGTTGCACGGTTGAACTAAAGGCAAGACTTTTGTTGTTTTCAATTATAACGATAAAGGGTGTTCACCAAATTGATACCATTTCATAAATAGGATGCGTTACAAACATGTTTGTCGTTTTGTAGTGTCCAGTTTTCTAAAATTGAATTCCTTTGGGTTGGTGATGTGCCTATTTAGCTGTTCCCTTACTCCATGAACATAGTTATATCTCTCACAAGAAACGCAAGACACTTTAAAATGGTCCTTGAAAGAGGGGCGACAGATAGCAGAGGGACATTCCAACTCATAATTCTCATATGATTTGCATATTAGGGAATACGTTTATATGATTGGTGAAGAGGGCTTTCGGTGGTGGCTCTTGACGTTATTTATTTTTCGATAGGCGACGTTGACCGAACTACTTTTTGTAACCAATGTAAACCAGATGGCGGCGACGTTACAAATATTTATCTTTTCTTCGCGTTCGTCGTTAAATTTAATGATAAACATAAAACATTCATTTAAATGATTATAAGATATTTTTGTAGCTTATTTTATCAGATAGCACATTTCATGGAGTACATTTTTTTTTTGCGTAAACAAAAAATAAATTCATGCGCCAGGCCATTTCAATGACACAAATATACAATCTACGTATGATACAGATTACGAGTGGGAAAATTGAATTCCTTATCTCCAATTTCAAAGAATTATAAGGATTTAACGCCTTTTCAAAGGAATGTATAAAATGGACCAAGTCACTCACAAACATATCATAAAAGTCCTTCGGACTTTTATTTGTTTGTGAGTGAATTGGTCGAGTTTATACACCAATACATTCCTTTAAAAAGGCGTTTAATCCTATAATAAATCGAAAATAAACTGACAACGCCATGGTTAAAAAAGAAGTAAAGACATACATTGGTCGGGTTGTTGTCTCTTTTTGACATATTCCCCATTTCCATTCTCAATTTTAAACAATAGTACACAAAACACAACATAGAAAAATTAAGACTAAGCAACACGAACCCCACCAAAAAACTGGGGGTGATCTTAGGTGCTCCGGAAGAGTAAGCAGATCCTGCTCCACATGTGGCACCCGTCGTGTTGCTCATGTTAGTACAAACCCGGTAATACGTCTAGTTTGGTAGGTCACATTCGTGAAAAGGGAACGGGATTGTAGTTACGACATAAGGAACACATCCGCTATCATCTGTGAAACGGATATTCCATAACGGTCAACCAACTGGTGATGGCGTCCGTAAAATTTACGAAGGGATGATTTCAGCTTCACCATTTAGAACTCTTGGTTTAAAAGCTGAAATCATCTGTTTTGTCGTAAAGTTATGTTTTCAACCGACCTTCATTGTCAGTTTTTAGATGTAAGTCAAGATAACTTAACTATATCTGTTGTATCCTTTATATCTAATTCGATGGGATAGATGCGTTCAACATAGTCACCAAATTTTGAATTATTTAGTGAGAGAACATCATCTATATAGCGGAAAGTAAAGTTAAAGGATACTGCTAACTTTTTTTCTTTCTTCTTAAGAAGTTCCTGTATGAAGTCAGCCTCATAAGAATAAAGGAACAAGTCGGCAAAATAGAAGATGACAGAAGATCATTGTCACTGCAAAACGCTTGATTTCAATCGTTATCTTAACGTTAAAGTATTTTGATTTAGATAACTTTAAATTGCGTGCGTTTGTTTTGCATAAAATGTACGTCAGTGCATTGACCAAAGGAATGAATATCTTAATTGGAACATTTCCATATCACAACTCAACATAAGATAGCTGATTTAATCAATATATTTCTGTAGTTAGGATTTTATAAGGGAGAGACGAAAGTTACAAAAAAGACATTGAAACTCATAAGTCGAAAATAGACTGACAACGCCATGGCAAAAAAGAAAAAAAAAAAGACAAACAACATAGTAAACTAAAGACTGACCAATACGAACTCCACCAAAAACTGGGAGTGACCTAAGGTGCTCCGGAAAGCAGAACATACTCCACAGGTGGCCCCCGTCGTGTTGCTCAAGTAAATATAAACCTAGTGATAATTCTAATTCGGTAGGTCACATTGTGGAAAAAGGAGGACGGGATTATGTGTACGACGATTGGAACATATCTGTCATCTAAGAAAGAGAAATTCCATAACGGTCAACCAACTCGTGATGGCGTCCGTACAATTTTCGAAGAGATGATTTTAACTACGTAACTCGGAACTCAATAGCTTCCTTGTGAGCAGCCCTGTAATATCAACTGGGGGATATATACTTCACATGCTGGCACTGCTGGAATGTTGATATATAGAAATGGAAAGTAACAATTTGAAGGTGAAATAATCAAGTCTGTTCTGAACCGACCCTCATTGTCAATTTCAAGATGTAAGTCAAGATATGAGGCGGACTTAACTGTATCTGTTGTACCCGTTATTTCGAGTTCGATGGGATAGATGCGTTCAATATAGTCTACAAACTTTGATTTATTTATTGAGAGGAACATGATCTATACAACGGAAATTGAAGTAAAAGAATAATGATAGCTTCTTTTCATTCTTCCTGTCAGACTCATAATTGTCATAACAATACAGACTAATACTTGTAAAAATTAAAGCGGGGAAAATTATCCTGTCTTTGTGGATGCAGGGCCCTAGTTTGCCAATAAACATATTTCCTGTTTTTTTCTTCTAATGGAAGTGATGTGAGTGAAACGTATCAATGGTAGCCGAAAGCTACCCTCTAAAAAACATACACAAAAAAACACACAAAAAAAGAAAACAAACCAAAAAACAAACAAAAACAAAGAAAACTTTAAAAAAAAATATTTGCATTTCAAGGATCCGGCCTTTTTTTCTCATACTGGCATTACTTAGAATAATATTGATAATAAATGAAAATATAACATTATTAATGGCATGCGTCCGAAGCGCTTTTCTGGATTTACCTTCTTCAGGAACGCTCAAAGCTAACTATTTGGAAGCCAATGATAAAAAGATAACTGAGATTAACTTAAATAGTTTCGTAGTTGAAAATATTTGACAAAGACGCCTACAAAAGTTTCTGTCGTTGAAAGACATACAGGGGTCTCGGTTGCCGAGTGGTCTAAGTAGTCGAACTTCTGTATCACTAGTCTGTCAACACTGAGCTTGTGAGTTCGAATCCCGTAGTGGGCAGGTGCACTCGACTTCAATCTTTATTGACTAGGATTGTCAGTTTTCCTACTGAAGGTCGGTGGTTCTCTCTGGCTCCTTCCACAAATAAAAACTGACCGCCACGAAATAGTACAATAGTGTTGAAAGTGGCGTTATCACCGATCAATCAATAGTACATACAGTACATAGTATATACTTATCGATAACGTACTAATTAAGTAAAGGTTGTTGATTACATTAAATAATAGATATAGTTTAATTTTTTTTAATTTGACAAAAGAAAGATTGAAATAACTGAATTGTCTTAATGGAATAGATCTGGTATATATCTGACAAGTCTAACAAATTCTAAATTTAAAAGTTATCTGTGCGTTTTAGCCTAGCAGTAATTGAAAGAGTGACCAAGCATTTATGTTGTTTACATTTGATCATGAGTATGATGAAACAGCATCTACAAACATTGGACAAGTTTGACTTCCCAAGCTTTAAATTAAAGAATTACTTTCATTTTCTAAAGATTCACACCTTAAAACCTAAATAGACAGATAATAAACATTTATACATGAAATGAATATACAAAAATCCATATACTAAGGCATTTTCAAAATTACTCTTGATTTTAGAAATGATTAAAGAGCCAAGGTTTCAACTCCCACAGGCAAAGTTGACTTTAGATAGATTTGATGCAATAGAGTTATAGTCTGTTGACTCGATAACGGGGTTATTTTCAGGTAGCAGGAGAAGGAAACAAAGTTTAACAAAAATACAAAACACAAAGGCAAATTCAAAAAGGTGAATTTTGTTAATACTGACAATAGCAAACACTTTTAATCAATGAACCAAGTGAAAAACAACTGCCATATTCCTGACTAGGTACAGGCATTTTCCAAAATTAAATGGTTGGCTAAACCTGGTTTTAATTCTTGCTAAATTTCCAACTTATAAGAAATTTGTTTAAACTTCCGTTATTTTGACTTCATTGTGTGAGCAACTCAAACAGCAATAATAGTAATTTTAATAAGAAAAAATTGATTTACAAGGTTTTATTAACACTTATGGTTTAAGCAAATGTTTGCAGAAATTAAACGATGATTTGTTTTCTGTCTAAGTTTGAAAAATTAAATTTGTTATCTGAGAATGCCTGAATTTTTTACTTAACTTAAACATAAAATGCAACAGGGAACTTCAGGACTTTGACCAATGATGCATGGACCCGTACCCTTTATGGTGTAAGTGTAAGAAAAAAATTAAAAGATATGAAAATGTTGTGGTAACCAAGGGCTACCCTTGAAACTACAACGTTTTACAACGGAATGTCAATATTTAATTCGATTGTAATTACAATTCTGATGCAATTATTTTGTATCAATTGTTCTGATTGGACGACAATAAGGTTAAAAGTATCTACCTCCCTGTCTGTAACTAAGGAAGCCGAAATTTAATACCGGAATGTATTGACATGTTATTTTCAAATAATCAAAATCTCACGTTTACACCTAGAAATCTTTTTTTTATCAAATTTTATTACATTTTGAAGCGGACAATAAGCCAGAAAACGACAGATGTTTATGTTTGATGCCGGAAGCATACATATGACGTCACCTCGTTAAGCCGCGAAAGAAGATAACATAATTTCGCGGAATTTTCGTTTAATGAAAATTTTACACGAAAATGAATACTTAAATTGAATGATTTGTTTATTTAGCATCGGAATAGAAATAACTGTATTGTATTGGAAGCTTTGCGGACATCCATTGGTAGCTTTACTGACGCAAATATCCGTTTACATGTCTCCCCTATGCGTCGCCAGGTAAACTAAATTTGCAACATTAAAACTATCGATGGACGTTCGCATAGGTTCAAATACAATACAGTTATCTCTATATTATACGTAAACTGTAGCAACAACACTTAAACTCAAATACTTGAAAAACAGGGATGTACTTTAGAATGTTAGATCTGTGACCAAATGGTATTATAAATAGATCAGCAAAAGTTATCTAAGGTCAAATTTGCCCGAGGAAGTTCGAACATTAGTTTAACCTTACATACTTCCTTAATTAGACATTGTTTGAAAACAGATTGGGTTTCTCCGTCATAACCTATTTGGTTCGGTTTTATGAGAACAATAAAATACATGAACTAACAAATCGCTTATGAACAAACAAATGAATTTGGGTCAAATTTTTTCTTTGGAATGTAAAAATATCAATCTTATTCTGAGCATTGCTAAATCTCTTGAGAACAAGTTAAGATGTACTTTCAATACTTAGAATATAACTGGATTTAACTATACTAGGGAGTGTTCAAAGACCTAGTTTACCCATGACGTTCTCGCAAGGTCGGTAACTATCAAGGATCTCATATATAACAAGTGGCCCCTACGAGCCTGAATCGGTTACCTGGATTTTTGTTAGATCTTGAACCAATGATAATTTTTTTCCGAGCAATAACTTCTAAAAGCGGTAAATTGATGATTTTCTGCAAAAACACTAAAATAGCAAAAAATTGTCTTTCAAAGGCAATAACCCATGTAATGATCTATTGACGATTTTCGTTATTTGACGTATTTGTAGATCGAACATTGCTAAACATGTTTCTATCTATCTTTATGAATTTGAAAGATAACAACCAAAAGCTGTTCATAATCACACAAAGAAAATTTCAAGGGCAAAGACTAAAAGTAAAATTGATTTGTCGAATTTCATAGCACATACATTTTTACCATTTTAGTTAAGTTCATACATCCTGGTAAAGTTTTATAGTATTTGGTTCAGTGAAATTTTCAGAGTAGAAGACTTTTGAAATTTTTCAAGACGGACGCCAAGTAATAGCTCATTATACCCTTTGAGTTAGGTAAGCCAAAATTTAAGTCGATCTATAACTATAAAGATTGAATAGTCTTTCTACATGCAAGATGTTAAAATAGTAAGCAGAAAAAAAATATAATTGTCTAACTATTTGTTTTACGTACACATAAATACCAGTTGGGAATAGTTTTCTTTGCAAAAGTTTGTGATGAACGCAAAAGAACAGAATGCAACACACCAAAGTACAATTACTCGTCTTTCTACAAAGAAGAAAAGCAGAAGATAAAAAAAGGAAAAGTATTTAATAATTCTAAAAATGAAAAAAGTATACAGACTTCAATCTTAAGTCTGCAAATTACAAAACAGGAATACATTTGGAATGTATCAAACTGTATATAGAAGATAAAATGGATTTATTTGAAAACTTAACTACTGAAAATATTTTTATATCTTATATACTTGCAAAATTTGTATCATCTTATTAAAGATTCTTATCTCACAGGACGCATTTGTATATTTCTGCTGCAAATGCAATATTGCTTGCAATATAGGTAGATAGAGCTCTTGTATGTCCACAATGTGTACAATGTTACTGCGAGACATTCATATTATGTAAGCAATCTCAATAGCGTATTCAGACCTCCCACAAAACTCAAATGTAAAGACAGAGAGCCTATCACTATCGAAAACATATATTCAACCCAATCAAACCGATTTAAGAAAAAAAAAGTATCCAAGAGTCATCTTATAGTGAAAGGCGAGTATATGTATAGTTCATTTATATATTTTTAGCTTTGTCTTTAGTATATACTACTTTAATTGTATTTTCATTAAAGGTCGTTAATCTCTCATCGTAATATGTGAAATATGTGAAGACGAAAACCCATAGTCCGGTCGAAGCACATAGATTCTGTAGCAAATAATGACAGTTGATAATCTTAATGTAATGAAATCAGGTGCATCTGCACGGTGAGTATTAAGAAAAAATACGACTCCTGCCATATACAAAAGCAGGGGAAAACAACAAAAACAATTAAAAAATTAGAATGTCTGATTGAAAGTTGAAACATTGTGGAAATTAAAACAGTAATTATGTTCCAAGTATTGGGTGAACATAAAAAAGAGATGAACTTAGTCGTTCTGTTTTATGTTTTACCACAAATTAATTAAAACCTTGATTTAATTCTTACAAGGATACAAAGATGAGGCTTGGAAATTTGGCTGTATCTGTTGAAAATTTATTACAAACTGTATAGGACATCCTAATGTTTAGGGTGATGTTGGTTATCGAAACCGTAAATTTATATACGATCCGGGTAAAAATATTGATCCTCTAAAAAAAACTTATTCTAAAAGGTTACCAATTTAACATAGTAATTAGATCTTTGAATATAGTTTTAAATCTGTATAAATATTCATTTTGTTATTTATAATTTAATAGCCTAATTTATGAAATAATATTTCGTTACAAGCAGTCAGTTTGGCCCAATATATCAAAATAAGCTAAACAATTATGTATCATTGACTTGCAAGCCAATAATTTAAACTCAAGTGAATCCGTATTCGTGTGATCTACAATTTAACCCCTCAGCTGAAGATAAATTATACATGTTCTACGTGTGATCAGCTATTAAAAGGAAAAGAATGTCAACTTCGAAAGTGAAACAAGGATGAACCATTTCATTGACTAATTCAAAAATCATTCTTATACAGGGAAATTGATGACTAACAATGTGTGTATGTAACGTACAACATGCAATCAAACAGACCTAAAAAATCCACTTACATGTGCTCGCTATATATGTATATTTATATTTATGTTTTTATCTAGTTATGTCACCGTCGGCGGTCTGCGAAAGTCTTCTCGAAGGTTAATAAGATTGCGTCTAGACTAAATTACACCCAATTCATTGATACATATTATCGAGTACATACATTGGTAATTGTTTATTTTAGACTTTAATTTACGTAAAACACATTTTAGTATGCTATAAATCAAATGTGAAAATTTGAATTAAATCGGTGAACATAAGTTTGAAATCTAATGCTCTTTTAAATATTAAACTAGTTTCAGCCGTCTCATTCATTTAAATATTTCTACAAGAAGTCAGGATTATCAAAAGAATTGTCAGTTGCTCCCTAGAATTTAGCATTATGAAAGGCACTTTTTTGAAGATTTGTATATTTTTCATGCTTTCAATTCTTACCCTGTTTATATTCCATAAACCATAATATTTGACGACTCAACATTATAGTACTAAGAAATGGCACATTTGTCCATACAAGACATCCATATGCTGTAACTGAATATTTTGTCTCTGAAAAAATAAATTAACAAAACATTCAGCACGTCATATAAGGGCTGTATTGAGTTTCAAACCATACGCTTAAATCATATTTACCGAAACACAATCGAACAATGGTATCTGATATACTTTTATGTATCTTTGGTATTTTTTGTCATCAACTGTATATTGTATACAACTAAAACAAAATGAACTGTATTTTACCTATCACTTTGCAAAGTCTATGCATTGGTTGGGGGCCCCTGAAAGTATTGTGATCAAAAAGAAAAAAAAGAGATGTACAATGACATTATTATGTGAAGATGTTGAGAAAATTTAATCAAATTGTGATTACAATAGGTGTATAAGGCTTTAGTCTCTGATGCATGATTGTGTATTAGTTATTATTGACTTTGAACTAGCTGTCAGTAACTGCGAGTACTCTCAGATCGGTACTAAGTGTCTTTTTTTTGGGTTGCATAACTACCTTGCCACGTGCGTTCTGTGTTTTTGTTACTTGTTGTTTTGTTGTTTTGTGTTTTGGCTTTTTATCGATCTGTTTATTAAAGTATTTTCTTTTGTTGTGCGGTTACAACCACTGTCCCAGGTTACGAGAGAGTTGGGCTTCCGCAAACGTGTTTAACCCTGTCACATTTTGTATGTGCCTGTCCCAAGTCCGAGGCCTGTATTTCAGCGGTTGTCGTTTATTACTGTATATTATATATGTTTTTCGTTCATTATTTTGTACATAAATCAGACCGTTAGTTGTCTCGTTTGACTTGTTTTACATTTGTCATTCTGGGGCCTTTTATAGTTGACTATGCGGTGTGAGTTTTTCTCATTGTTGAAGACCGTACGGTGACCTATAGTTGTTAACTTCTACATCATTTGGTCTTCGATGGAGAGTTGCCTTATTGACAATCATGCCAAATCTTCTTTTTTATATAAGGGATTTCAAATGTGTACTTTTGTGTATACGTCGTTTGCTGAGGTAAACGGAGATAAATCTGATCAAACGACAAAATAGAGGTACATAGTAGCATTATATGGTTAATATATGTGTTAAAAAGTTGGTGGTGCACAAAGGTATTATATGGTTACGATTAAATGCATGGACAAAGGTATGCATGCACTTATTTTCAAAAATATCAAACATGTATCCGCCCAGCTAAAACTGTTCACTGTGTGCAATCCACACAATTTACATGTGTTTGGATAGAACCTATATGTCTACATATGTAAACCTGTTGGACCGATCCAACAAGTCTAAGTCAAAGTAAACATATAGTATTGATACAAACATACGTTTACCGATGTTGATACCATACAGTTAAGTAATGTAAAGTGAACAGTCTTTATAAGCGCAGACATGTTTAATCTATTTTGTAAGATGGCAATATCATTTTTCGACCTAGAAATAGAAAACATGTATCATGTACTACGTTAAAGATGAGTTTGATCAAGCGAACGGTATATTTGTAAGCTTCCTTTCCATCAGGGAAACGTGCCTTCTAATTAATCTCAATGGAGACATTAGAATGTTGTTTCTGATATCGGTGTCGTTAGAACAATGGGCAATCTATCTGGTTTCGACCAAAACGTTTTATGCATATAACGTTCTTAAAATGGAAGTTCGGCAATAAATGTAAACTCTGAAGTGTACAATTAAAAAGAGATAGCAAACAAACAGGACAATTTCTTCAAAAATAGTTAGTCAATCTCTATTAAAATTGACTTGTGTTTATACCTCTGATAGTACATGTATATAAAAATAATTTCAAATTTTGATACAGGACAAATTCTCATGAATAACCTTGTCTTTTGATGTTTCTAGACTTTGTTAAGTAATTTCCAATAGAAAACACTTGCAAAACGAGATTAAATTAAAAGACATATTTGGCAAGTTGGATTCAAGTTCATTTGACAAAACAGGCAAAACTTGAAAAGTATATGTTGGCCTAAAATGAAAAACTCTGGCAAATGAATGTTGGCTAACGGGTTGAAGAAGAATATCAATCCAATGTTTGTCACTGGACGTTACGCAAGGAGTTATCAATAAATCATTTGTTTCTAGCAAGCACTGTTACTGCAATTCTTGGGATAATACTGCGACTGATGTAGTATAGAAATGAAGCAGGCAGATACGAAGTGAAAATTAAAGATCCAAGCACTACCGACTGACTTTCTTACTCCAACCAATAGTCTTTAAACATTTATTTTTGCAAAATTAATCAATGTATTTTTAAATCTTTAACTCATTTTAAAGCTTAAATGTTATAACTGCCAAAAAAAAATGCTCTTCCAGCTAGCATGACAATAGTACATGCAGGTCAAATTGAGGTAAACATTTGTTTAAATCTCTTTAATTTTCTATACACCAGATTTTTTGTATGTATGCCTCTAGTTAAAAGATAACTGTTGGGTGCCTTACCTCATTTAACCTTTGATCTCTAGGGACCTATTAATTCATTCAGAAACAAATCATCCAAAACTTGGGACACAGTTTTTTTTAAATAAAAATAACGAAGCCAAACCAAAAGGGTACCAAATCAATTTTATATTACAATTCTGATGAAGATTTTTTTTTTAAAACCACATAAAGACCTAATACTCGTACTATTGACAACAAAATTATTTATTTTGTAAAAAATATTTCCGTTCTCTATTTGTACTGTATACCTAACGACAAAATTATTTCCGTTAACCTGTGAATATTATTCTATTTGGCGGCGTTTTGTTCAGGGTTATGGTTGTTTTTCTGAAATCGTTTAACAACTGATCCCTTATTTTATTGATTTTGTATTTACATTGTGTCATGGATCAAATTTATTCGTTCAGTGTATGTTCACTTGTGTTAATATGTCTTTTGAGTGAGTTAAGCCATTTTTATTTTTTATAGTGTGTCTTTCTATATTGTGATGTTACACTATTGTTTCAGATAATGGTGAAAGTTGGTAATTTTTTAAAACGTTTAAACCCGCTGCATTTGCTTGCACCTGTCCTAAGTCAGGAATCTGATGTTCAGTAGTTGTCGTTTGTTGATGTGGTTCATAAGTGTTTCTCGTTTCTCTTTTTTATATAGATTAGACCGTTGGTTTTCCCGTTTGAATGGTTTTACACTAGTCATTTTTGGGGCCCTTTATAGCTTGCTGTTCGGTGTGAGCCAATGCTCCGTGTTGAAGACTGCACTTTGACCTATAATGGTTTACTTTTACATATTGTGACTTGGATGGAGAGTTGTCTCATTGGCACTCATACCACATCTTCTTATATCTAACTAATACCTCATTCAAACCCCTATAAATGCAAAAAAAAAAAAAAAAAATACAAAACCCCTCTCGGAATACCAAAAAGAGTGTTCTTAAACCATTATTGTATCTATTTAACAACCAATTTTGTGTCTTTTATACAGTTAAAATGTACATTGTGCACAGCTTGTCCCTTAAAAGCACTAATTTAGCATTTGTTGCGAATTTGGCGTCACAGTTTTAAACCAACATCTGTAATGTAGTAATTCGATATGGTCAAAGCTCCTCCACTGTCCAAACAGTATAACATTAGACAATATTAAAGACATTATCAAGACCACCCTCGTCTGAATAGACTGTCCCGAATGATTTTTGAGGTAATGGAAACTAAAACTAACTCATTAATGCAAAAACTGTTAAATTTCTAATCTTCCAACAAACAGAAGGCATGTGCATGAACTCAATGTAGAAGACCAAAGGGAAGAAATGTATGCATGTTTCATAGAAAAAAAAACACTTTCACTATAATACAGGTGATGTGTCTAGATTTATGATTGTTCTGAATGTCATTGTTACTGGTGTCAGATACTGATAAAAGGTCTTCTCCCATAGAGAGAACATTTGTCATTACAGTTTCAAAATCAATAGTTTAAAAGTAATTTTTAAACACCACGAATCCTTTTTTTATTATTCATTTATTCTTAACTATGCCCTCACCATTTAAAAAAACAACCCGTACGTTTTGTGACGTTTAATATATCGTTCTAGAAATAAACTGGACAATATCAACGCCTGAGTTCTAGGTGAAATGCAAGGAAAAAGTAAAATCACAAAATTACCGACCTCTGAGGAAAATTCAAAACGGAAAGTCCCTAATCAAATGGCAAAATCAAAAGCTCAAACACATCAAACAAATAGATAACAACTGTCATATTCCTGACTTGGTACAGGCATTTTCTTATGTAGAAAATGGTGGATTAAACCTGGTTTTATAGCTAGTTTAACCTCCCACTTGTATGGCAGTCGCATAAAATTCCATTATATTGACAATGATGTATGAACAAAACAAACAGACATAAAAGGTAATAATTTAAAAAAGGGGTACAGCAGTCAACATTGTGTTATAATCATAATCTCTATAAAAACAAACAAATATGTAACAAAGAAACACAAAAAGGCATATATACAAAGCACATTATCAAAAATGAAAGACAAGAATACAAAATTTTACAATAACACAATGACGGAAAGGAAATTATGCGTTGTATGTGCAATTTCCCGAATACTTATAACGTAGTTATCATTAGTCCGCAATCGGTCACAATTATTCAATTTCACAGCGGTTTTGTCTAAATTGTTTACCATTTAAAAGATAAAGTTACATATACTGTCACAGAAGGAACGGAAAAACGTATAATATTTTAATGTTATTATTGAACGGATAGAACTAGAAGTTTTGTTATAAAGATTTGTTTGAAATAAATAATTTTTTTTGTACGATCCCGAATTTTTCTTTAGAGGGGCACTAGGTGTCAAATTCATGTTCACTGATTAGACTCAAATTCTCATATTCGATTTATAACATACTAAAACGTATGTCCAATTAATAGAAAGTCTCAAAAACAATTTACAATGCATATGCTCGATAGTTTGTATCAACTTTTCGTGTGTATTTTAGTCTAGACGCCATATATTTAACCATCATGATGACCCCCGAAGACTGCAGAAGGTCATATAATCCGATACAAACATAAATATAGATATAACTAGATAGAGAAATCGTGCAAGTGCATTTTTCTAGGTCTGTTTAATTTCATATTAGAGGCTAAAAATACATGTATATGATAATCATCGTTTTTTCTTGTATAAGAATGAGATTTTGTGGATCGAATCAGTCAATCAAATGCTTTCCACTTGTTTCACTTTCAATGTTGACATTCTTTTCCTTTTAATAATTGAAAATTTCATGCGTTACCAATCTCTACCTAAGGAGCTAAATTGACATTCACATGAATACGGACTCAATGAGGTCGAATTATTCACTTACCTATTTCTTATATTATTTTGACAAAATTGAACCAAACAGGCTTCTAAAAGCGAATTATTATTTCATTATTTCACTTTCATTGATGATGAACAAAACAATTACCATATTTTATTTTTTTTAAATCTCGTGGTTCGTGCCCATTATTACTGATCTACCTTCAATAGACATGCTCCAACAGAAACATTAGAAAGTCAAGGATGTGAAATATGTTGAAAGGTTACAATCATCACAGATAAAGATAATAAATACTAATGAAAAAGAAACATTTTTCCTATCTGATCGAATTCTCTTTCTTATTTTAAAATAGTAATTATGGTCCTGCTTAAACTACATAGACGGTCAATTTATCATTGTTGATATCAGATATCCTACCATTATAACCATACCTTTAAAACGGAGCACGGTGACATTGACACTTGCTACGTCTAAATTTGTTCCATGCAGACATGACCACTGTCCATTAATGTTGTTGCCTCCTTTAACAATTAGAGATGTTACGTTTGTTGAAGCATTTTGGGTTATAGTGGAATTTCTATACAAGTTATAACACTCTGGAACTGGAAAAGGATGTACACAATATCCTAGCGTTTTGTGATACTGATTGACAAGGTATACTTTATAACGTAATTCGTCAACTTTGCAAGACAATGTTAAAATCTTTTCACCCACAGACCATGTTAGACAAATTCGAATATTGCATAAACTTATTTCTGAAAAAAAGAAAGAATCAAATAATAACATTATTTACTCTTCAACGAATTAAACATAAGGATAATGTATGACTGGAAAGTTTGTATAATACATAAACATATAATCAAATGCAAAAGCAATAGTAACGAGTTTATGCCTATTGAGTGCATGTTCAGCACATATTTATTAGCAAAGCCTCTTTAACGGCATATGATACAGTTACAGGGGATGTAATGACGTTGCTAACGTAAAATGTTATTTTTCGCGACGTCAAAATGAGACATATCGGGAAAAGATGCATTATCGACAGATTTTTATCATTCAAACTGATAAAACTTGAGAAAGAGTTCATGGACCCCTCTTTTATAAAATGACATAAGTTTGATTACATATGAAGATTATTTATACCAATTTTTATGAAAAAGTCAACAATGAAATTTTGTTTAAATCAGATAAATATACAGCAACAAAAGCCGTTTATTTTTCTAAAATCCTGAAACTTTGATAAAAAATAATTATTTCCAAAAAATTGATATACAAATTTAGAGCATAATTATGTAAAGAAGATTGACCAATGTTTTCACAAAAATCCGCCTCTGTTTATCTTTTAAAACAAAAAAAGTTAGGTATGTCTATCGAAAGAATAGAAATGTCACCAAAAAAACTAAATTTTGAGTAAATGTCTAAAATTTCGACCCAAATTATCTCTTAAAGTAGCACATGCAGGTATATTTTTATTACATATTTGAATGTCTTAGGTAAACAGTAGCTTGTATGCAAATGTTCGTCAAAAATTTAACATGGGATCGAAACTGTATCGTATGCCCTTAAGGTTTGGGATGGTTAAAGGCAATGTTGATCTCTAAAATCTTTGATTATATTCACCGGGACAGATTTAAAATATTTTTATGAAGAAGTTGTCTAACTGGGTTGACTGAGAAACCAATGGTGTTTCTTTGAAACACCGTGATAAAAGAAGTAAAGATGTGTTCTTAAAATATAAAAAAAATATTAAGATGATGCATAAGAAAGCGTAATCATGTATATTATGATATTATCCTATCATCGAAACAAACTGTTGGTAACAAAGATCTGAAATATATTGATAAATTCTACAGATTTACAGACACATTTAACCGATAATCATAGACTAAAACCTTTTTATACAATTATGCACACACAAAGATAAGTTAAACATTCAATACTACCGGGAAAAAAGGAGATACAAAAATACACATCACCCTTAATTGTTTCTTAAATCATAGAATTATACATATTTTAGCACGCATTTGTATGCATAACTTTAATAACTATTTTCGTTCTTTACATGAGTATTATGACATTTCTGGATGCAAATGTCATCAGTATAAAAACATATATGCCATCAACACAGAACTGCTTGCTTATTATTATTTTAAACTTCAAAGGATATGTACTTTTTAATAATCTGTTGACATAGAGATCTGTCTTGCCTTTTTGTAATTTTGATAGCAAAATGCAAATGTTGAAATTAAAATGGCAATATCTAAACATGGTAACTTTGCAAAACATCAAAGTCAATGAACCACGACAAAGGCCAAATAACCTCCATGGAATTTATATTTACTAATGGGTATAAAACTGCATAAAAAACATTGACTGTTTATAAGTGGTACACTTAAAATTAACCTAAACACAAACTTTAACTTGTAAAATATGCAAAAGGTTTACAGTCAATGAACCATGAAAATAGTCCGGAGTCACAAATAAGCTCCATTGAAATGATACCATTTATTTTACATTAATTTACTGATTTTTCTTTATCTGATATAACCACAAACATTAACATGTACACTATGCATAATATTCAAGGTAAATAGACTATGACTGAAGGGGGAGTAAAATAATATCCATGGAAAAGGAATGTACCAATGCTTATACATCTGCATATACTATCATTGAACTATTCCTAAGTGTTCCCCTTGAACTAACCTAATGAAAGTCAACAGACCATGACTGAGCGGCGGTGTCAAATAATGTCCATGGAAATAAGATGTGCCAATGTTAATATAGCTGCATACAAAATACTACTAACCTACCAATAGAGGTTTCCCAGAAAACTGGCCTAATCACACACTTCGTCGAAGCGAGACTAAAATTTGTTTTCATTCTTTATCATTTTTTTATTGAATTGTTGCACAATTAGTCATATCCGAACACTTCATATCTGAATATACCTTATTGGTTTTATTCATTATTGAAGGCCGTACGGTTGCCTATAGTGGTTTACATTCATTTCAGGAGTATTCTGGTGGATAGTTGTCACTGAAAATCATACCACATTTCTTATTTTAAGTAGCTGAGACTTAAAGTTGGGAGTTAAATACATAAAACTGTTATACAAAAAGCCAAAATTAGCCTTAATATTCTTATATTTGGTTTTCATTATCAAATTATGATTGATTGATTGATTGTTGGTTGCTTAAAGTCAATGTGCAAATATTTCATACATGTTCATACACTGAAGTTGAAGATGAAATTCATTTTCTTCTTCAGTGTCCTGTTTTAGTTAATAAAAGATCTGATTATATAAATTACTTAAATAAGGTTAACAAAAACTTTAAAAGCCTCCCAAATAAATCAAAATTAATATGGTTAATGTCATCTGAGGATAATGTTATCATTAAAAAGGTAAGTTTATTAATGTGTACTTTATATAAAGAGAGAAATTTAATTCTCTGTAAAATATAGATACAGTTTAGTCACCGGTATTTTGTCCATCTATATTATATTATACAACTTTATATTATTTCTGTACAAACTGTTCTGCTCAGAGAGAATTGATTTTGTTTATTTTTTTAAATAATCAATGTAATCAATGTGTCATCACTTGTATGAAATTTAACTTAAATGTTCTCCTCAAAATATTGGGCGTCATAATTGACAATAAAAGACTTTGTATTTGTATTTGTTCAGAACGAAAACAAATTAACAATAAATACAATAGGTAGGTTTTTTAACATAGGTCGTCCGGGATTAAGGCCGGAAGAATTTCGACTGCCACTGGAAAATGAGGGTATATTGGATATGGACAGAAATTTGGCGTTGCAACAGGCTACCTACGGACCTCTTAAAGAGTTGTTGCAATTGTCTTAACGTGCTAAGAAAGTGACTCTCTCTCTACACAAGACATTGGATTTAATGTCCCATTCTGACCGGTGGTGGCTGCGTACTTGATACACCCCGCACAGCAAAACGGACGCCCCACTTTGACAAAGAATGTACTGCCGGTCGAAGAAAGACCTTTGATGAACATATTTCTATTCCCAAGTCACCCTTAGGATGTCAAATTATGACATTTCTACTATAGTGTAATGTTTCTTAAAGCAATATATAAGATACATGTACATATATATGAATTAATTAAAAAAAAATAGGTGGATAATAGGTTTATATAAAGGTTTTTGAAGCAGCCGAATTATTTTACTTTTATTTTGCCATATTCACTTTATACACGAGAAAATGATGACTTCAAATGTTTTTGTCTTGTGAAATATTTAATTCCGTAAACTCCTTCTTCGTGCTGTCAACAACAATCATTTGTAAAATATATATGTTTTTTTTTATTTCAAAAACATCTATTAATGAAAATTGGTTGCCACATAGAATGAAAAGAAAGTTCACAATTTAATTTATCTTTTTTTATCAAACATTTTTACCAGTTAATGTTATTAAAATACTTAAACTTTTGTTTGTGTTGAATGAGAATGCAATAATTTCTATATTTTGATAGAAATTATGAACCACCATTTGATTTCAGTACTTTTTGTACATCAGGATTGGTTGTTTTTCATAAAATCTGCTGATTTGCAGGGAAAAGATACAGAATTTTTGTACGTGTTGCTTAAAAATGCAAATATTTCTTCTTTTATATCAGGAATAATGCAACGTCAGTTGCAAACAGTCATTATAAATGCATTTAGATAAGTACTTGTGTATAAGATGTGAATAATTAAAGGATAAATATGCATAAACTTTTGTTTTTGTTGAATAAGAATGCAATCATTTCTTTTTGTTAATGGAAATTATTGACCGCCATTGAATTTTTGTACTTTTTATAGTTAAGGATTTGTTGTTTTCATAAAATTAAAAGAATATCAGAGAAAATATACTAAAATTTTGTTTGCATTGTATAAAATTACCAATTTTTCTTCTTATGTTAAAAAATAATGCAATGTTTTTTGTAACTAGTTTTTTCAAAGGCCTCAAGATAAGATTTTTTTAAGAGAATTTTAATAATATAAGGAGAAAATACTTAAACTTTTGTTTGTATTAAAAATGAATGGAATTATTTCTCTATTTTGATAGAAATTATTAATCGCCATTTGATTTCAGTGCTTTTTGTACATCAAGATTGGTTGTTTTTCATAATTTATGCTGAATTTCATGGAAAAGATACTAAATTTTGTTCGTGTTGCTTAAAAATGCAAATATTTCTCCTTTATATTAGAAATAATGTAATGTCAATTGCAATCAGTCATTATAAATGCATTTAGAAGTACTTGTGTATAAGATGTGAATAATTTAAGGATAGATATGCATAAACTTTTGGTGTTTGTTGAATGGGAATGCAATCATTTCTTTATTTTAATAGAAGAGGGACGAAAGATACCAGAGGGACAGTCAAACTCATAGATCGAAAACAAACTGACAACGTCATGGCCAAAAATAAAAAGACCAATAATAGTACAGATGACACAACATAGAAAACTAAAGACTAAGCAACACGAACCCCACCAAAAACTGGGGGTGATCTCAGGTGCTCCAGAAGGGTAAGCAGATCCTGCTCCACATGTGGCACCCGTCAAGTTGCTTATGTTATTACAAATCCAGTAAATAGTCTAATTCGGTAAGTTACATTCGTGAAAAGGGAAGGGTATTGTAGTTACGACATAAGGAACATATCCGATATCATCTGTGAAACGGTTATTCCATAACGGTCAACCAACTCGTGATGGCGTCCGTAAAATTTACGAAGGGA